CGAGGAGATGAAAACAAAGTTGGATACTGTTTATGGAGACATTTCGCCATCTACGACCACAGTTAGATATTGCTTCAACGAATGTAAACGTGGGCAAAGGTCCGTTTTTGATAGGAGCGACCAGGAAGCCTGGCAAACGTTGTTACCGAGGAAATCATTTTACGGATTTTTTAGGAAAAGGAAGAACCATCACTGGACAATACTACAGTGAGTTATTGGACCGCTTCGACAAAAAATTGAAGGAGACACGGACGCATTTGACGAAAAAGAAGGTGCGTTTTCAACACGATAACGCACCGGCACATTCATCAGGAGTTGTTGCCGCCAAACTGCATGAATTACGTTATTATTAACTGCTGCCGCACACCCCGTACTCACTAGATTTGACTCTCTGCGACTTCATCTTATTCCTTACCATGAAGAAATGACTAGCGAGAAAGAAATTTAGCTCAAACGAGGAAGTCATCGCCGAGACAGGGGGGATTTTGGAGAGTTCGACAAATCTTATTTTTTGGAGGGGTAAAAAAAATGGCAGGGTCGTTAGGAGAAGTGTATCTTTCTAAAAGGGGACTATGTTGAAAAATAAAAAACAAATTTAAAAAAAAGGTGTCTTCATTTGTAACACGGGTACTTATTGAACCGCCCTCGTATGTGACACTGAAGAATGCAGCTTTCCCGACTTAATATTAGGTGCTGAATGATTCAATGAACCGACTTTGCTCATGCTATTGTGCTACGTAAATCATAACTCTTACAGATTTCTACAAATAAATTCTGCAAACATCGTTTTATTTGCGATTTTTATTCGAATTAAGAAAACTATAGTTGAAAATTACACAATATTGTTCACTAATTCCTTTTCCGTTGAAGAGCAACAAAACAAAATCTTCTTATTTACTACCTAATAGTAAAAGCTCAAATCAATTTTCTTTTTTGTTTCTTTACATAGTGTCAATTGATACAGGATATATACATACAAGTAAACTAAGCATTTTTCTTCATAAATGACGACAAAAAGTAATGGTTAGACTTTTAAGACGTTGCGTGCTACCCTAATAAATGAAATAAAATGTGCACGAAATAGAGAAAGCGATGTTAATTATTTTTTATGACAAAATAAATTAATAATAAATTAGAGAGCAGGCAACAAGCCTAATTCACTCATAACTTTTCCGAAATGATTCGAGGAAAATCTTGGAAACATCAAAGTGAAAATTAAAATCTACCTATCATGAACTTTTTCGGTCAAATTGTGGTTGAATAATTTTTACTGAATTTATTCCATTAGAAAGTTGCACCTTCTATAATGGAATTAGTTAGAATTGACTTGTTTTTCCAGGATAAAGGTGTAACATTAAAAGTTCAAAAACCGCCTTTCGGAATCATAAAATAGACCGTTCCGTTATAGATCAGATCTTTTATAAATGTCGTGACATTTATGTGTACGTATACAACCCCCATTTGAATATTAATCGGCTAATATCGAAGTAACCCTACCTAGTTATTAACTACCAGAGGCGGCTTGCTACTTGAAACGTAAAAAAAGGATTAAGAGAATCGGTTTTATATTGTCCTTGCACTCAGTCATAAATTATAAAAGAATTAATATTTATTCCATTACCACAATTGTATAATTACTTAGTTGATGTTTAATTAGGTACAAAGGAATATTCCTTTGCATTTTAATTACATTCGAAAAGTATAAATAATGAAGAACACGATTATAAAACTAGGTTAGATTAGCGAAATATTAATAAAATCTATTAGCAACAAAGGGGATGATTTTTTTCAAGTATACACTTGATTTATATTAAAATATCTCTGTATGGCATTTAGAATTTGGAAATATGTAAATATTTTAATACAACTTCCTTAAAGTTTCATGTTCAACAAATCTTATAAATACGCCAAAAGTGGTCAACTACACTCCTCAGAGAATATTTTGTCGTCGCCATTACGCAATGCGTGCCGACTTTTCAGTATGTTCTAATCGGCAGCATGCTTTGTACTCCTTGAGTCTCGTTCCTAAGGAATAGGGTATGCGGTAGACCCCTGGGGCTAACAGAGGGTCTCTTTTGTCCTTAAGTGATTTGATGGTCTGCTGGATCTTCTTTGTAGGTTTGAAGATGGTTCTGATATCGTACCTCGTAGGTAATTAGGCCGTAACCTTTGGAACATAATTTAGACATGTTAGAGACTTAGGGCGCCGTCCGTTGATCTCTGATGCCTTTAATCTGTTCCATTGATTTCTCGATCTTCCTCTTTTTGTCCTGTCCCAGTCTTGTTGCCTGCTTCTTTTGCTTAGGGTCAGGTTCAGACCAAGATGTTCTTCATCCGTCTTCGTCAGGCAACGACGTGTGCTATGGATTCGTTCTCGGAAAAAGGCCTTCTCAGTCTTGATCTGATAAATTGGTAAAGGTTTTTGCGGACAGTACGAGTGGCGAGCATCTTCAGAGGTCCATTCGTCTCTGGTGTTGGATATGGACGGGCAAATTTCATGCGCAAGTTGTATTTATACCAGTGGGTAGGGGACGGGGCTTGTTCCGGTACCGTTAAGGTGTTCCTGAGGGTGGACTTCCAGATCTGGTTGAATTTGAGGGAGTGTCTTCCTTCTTGCTGAAGTTCTCTGGATGTATTTGGATTTCGATGACTTATCTAACCATCCAGAATAGTGTTTTTTTTTGTGAGGCCAGGAGGTGGAGATGCAAAATCGAATATTACATAAGAAATACTCTTTAGACAACCTAACGAAACCTAATTTCACATATTTTGAAGTTATTTTTCGATTCCCAGATGGCACTATCACTAAAAGAATCACAAAGCCACTTATAAACAATATGGTACCCAATTATGGGTGCCATTATTGCATTAAGAGGCAAAGTGGGTGCCTGACGTACAATAAGTAAACATACGAAAAAAATTACTGTTAACATTAAAATCGTTCACATTATGTATTTCTGACGAGATTTTATTCATATAACCGTGATCCATTTAATAAATAATTTTATGAAACATTAGAAAAGTTTATTGCTATCTTTAAAGAAAAGTTTTTTATATTGCGTAACTTTAAGTTAACACGCAATTAAACTCTAAATGTAATGTAAACATAAATTACAAAAGCATCTTGGGAGTGATTAAATTTCTAGAAATAATTTTTTTTTGTTGTTTTTCTCATGTTCCTTGTATGCATAAAAGTCCGGTCGCTAATATACAGACTTCTACACATTGTAACATTCATTTGTATATACCTAGTTGACTGGCTATCATTACCATCAACTTTTAATAACTTAATACGAATAAAAACTAATTACCTTTACCTTCACACTTGGATTTAATGAAATATATTATTTTATCTGTTACATTGTAGAAACAAATCGAAAACATAACCTTTAAGGACAACATTATTTTGTTTTCGATAACTTTGTTAAGTAATTTCAGAAATTAAATGAATAAAATCTTACCTTTAATGAAGATAGTTGCAATTTCAGTATAACTTTTACGCAGTTCATTTAAAGAAACAACGAGATCGTAACAATTTATTCATTTTTTTAAACACCTGTTTTACTTTCACCTACTACCTATTTGAACGTACGCACAACATGAACTAACTGAAACTTCTACACTGCACACATTGATTACATACATATCTGTAGTAAGTGAACGTATACAAACAACGAAATAATACATACACACTCAAAGAATAGAGGGATGACTTTTTTGAATGAAAATTGAGAATCCTCTATTCGTTAGAGGCTTATTAAAAACCTAATTATATTTTTTATTCATCATTCTTCGTTTTGAAGCTCCGCTTTCAAAATATCATTCAAAGTCCCTCCTGCAATTTTTTAAAAAGGATATTTATCAAAAGTTTAAAAAAATAATATAATAGCACCAAGGGAATACTATGAGTGTTATCAACAAATTAAAGAAATATCGGCGACTATGTCTCTACGAAACCTTGTAATTGCAGTTGTAAACATAAGTAAAACAAGGGCGACATAATCTTCAGTTCCGAACATACAGAAAATGAGCGTGAAGGGGGAATCCCCGTCGATCAAATGTTATGTCCATGGTTTGCTTGGATCGGTCTGGTTCAGCTATTGCGTTTCTATTAGCTACATAAAGTTATTTATGTTAAATGTTATGTCCATGGTTTGCTTGGATCGGTCTGGTTCAGCTATTGCGTTTCTATTAGCTACATAAAGTTATTTAGGGGAATCATCTTATAGGAAGACAGTGTTATCACTGTTAGGTCGCTTGTTTATTACAAGTTAATAAGTAAATAGGTATTAGAGACAGTAATTATCGTTTGATAAGTATTTTTAACGCTAATATCTGTTATTGGTTGATAATCTGGCAGCATTCATGATTATCAATTACGGTACCTTGGGCACTTGTCCAGAGTGCAGTGGTAGAATAAGAGGGATTGGTCACCCCGGATCTCTCATCCTGGTGAGCTTCCAAACTTCGAAAAGTCCTTTTCAATGAAATCCCAAACAGTCAAAATACTTTCTGTAAATATAATATGCAGTTCTGGAGGCCCATGTATGCAAAATAGAAACGTAGGTACCAATACCTATTCATCTATTATCATTCTATTGCAATTACACAAAACGTTGCATGTCAGCCATTACATGATTTACTTTTTACAAAATGTCCACTATTTGAGCAGACTGAAGACTTCGCTTCGTTTTGCCGCCCGGACTTAGTTTCCCTTTATCAAAGCGACTAATAGAAAACGGGAGCCTGCCTGCTTTTAACGCCATATGGTCGTCAATCCACAGTAGACGTACCTCAACTATGCTGAGTCAATCTTCGCTTTCTTGAAATCTAGAACATCCCCATATCCTTCATAATTTGCAAAGAGTAACCTGATGAAAGTCTTCCTCTGCCTCTCTACACTCTTGTTTCTGCTTCTAGGATGCCACTGATTCTCCTGTACGCCCTTTTTTAAATTTTAAAGGAAGTATTATTATATTTAATAGAAAATAAATAAAAAATTAAATTCTAAGACCATTTATTCATTTGTTGTGAACGCACCACGACAATTTAAATTTAGTTATACAGTAAGCTTGATAATATATGTAATTTATAAAAGCAATTGGAAAAGTACAAAAAACAAATTAATGTACTGTATAGAGAAAATACCACTTTACTAATAATAATATGAAAGAACCTAAATACTAACCACATAACTACAGAACGCGTAGAACTGTCTAGTCCGAGATACTTAAAAGTACAAAATATCTAATAAAGAAATTGTAGTTTTTTTTTTCTGAATACGTGTGCCATTTATATTACAGAACAGACAACACAAAAAATACCATATGTTTTGTAGTAGTTAGTAGGTACGCAAATTTAATTTTATTCGGTAATTACGAGCGCAGAATGAAGGTGGCTGTTTATCGTCTATACGGGTGGTATGATTGAGAGGGTGTACTGTACACGTTTCCCCTTTGCGGTCCACCGGCATACACATCACCGCCTGCTGCTGTATAATCACCTGTGAGACATGAACCATGGTGTTTAGCTTTAATCACAGGAGCTGGCCTGCAAATGGTATAGGAGGAGGAATTTTGACTAGGGTCGAGCTTTTTATCTGGAATGTCAGAGGATAAGGGGTGTTGGACAATGTATAAACAACACAGGACGACAAAGACAGATCCAAAACAATTAAACTTTGTAATTTAATAGCCATCCATGAACTGTAAAAAGTAAAGCTAGCATTTAAGTGTTTGTAGCTCTTGAAACTCCTCTATATAACGCCCTTTTCGACATTAACAGATTATCCTTTTTTTATACACTTAATTGCTCCTAACTACTTTTACAGTCATCTCGCAACAAACTGATAGTAAGCAATATTTGATTATACCCTGAACTTCAATAATATATCACTCAAACAGTGGTGTAGGATTTCAAAATTTCAACTTCAGAATGAAGAGTAATATCCATTTATGAAAGAATGCTGGCCAAATATCAACAGTATTTTAATTGTTCGAATAAAATTTTTACAGATGATAACTCCACTAATGTGTCAACAAAAACAGTAGTTACTTTGATATCAGTTTTAGTAAATATTCTTTTCCTGAAGACTATTCGCATTGATTTTACTTTTTCATATAAAAAATCTGAATTCAAAACTGAAAAACATTTTATTTTTTATCTGGTGTGTATTGCAAAAACAATGTTTTCATTTTAGAATAATTTTTGTTTAGTAAAATACGAAGTTTTAATCTACAAATTTTGTAAGTATATAATTTATTTAGCGATATTCCACGAAAATTTTCATCTTATTTAAATTCAATTTCCTTTAATACCCGTTTTTTAATTTTGAGTGCTATTGTTATTACAAAAAATACAATTATACCTCAGATGACTGAATTAATCGAGAAAAGTCGATCAATTTTTAAAACTCATAAAATTACTATAAGGCTAAAGTATGACCGAACTTTTTGTTGTATTTGCAAAATATAAAGAGAATGAAAAGTACTGCTGCCTAGCTCAGAAAATGTAATGTCCAACCTACTAGTTTAAAAATTTCGTTTTTTGTCAGTTGTTAGTCAATAAATCAAAATGTTACTCAATCTATTAAAAATAGTAAGTTTATACATGAAATATTTAGAAAAATATGCATGTTGTTAGTGCTTAAGAACTAAGGAAAAGGAATTGAATCATACAAATAGAAAACTGTATTCATACTTTAATCATTATCCAATGGTATGAGATAATGATGTTATATTTTATATTATATAATACACTTGGTTAATTCTAAAGTAATTCACTCTAAATATATTCAACTACCCCAATAAAAATGCACTACTATTAAAACTGACATTTTCAAAACCACATAATAACAACTGCTACTTCTAAATTGATAGACCTCGACAATTTTTACAATACTTAACAACATCTCGTTATTA